CTCTTCTGACATCCATTTTGGTCTTTTCTTCCTCTTCTGTCTTTGCAATGACCGTTTGCACTCTTCCTGGATGATACCCTTGCTATCCTCCCACAGCTCGTCTGGCCTTCGCTCATTAGTGTTCAAAGCCTCAAACCTGTTCCTGAGATGATTCTGAAATTCAGGAGGGATAGACTCAAAGTCGTATTTTGGTTGCCTTGGATTTGGTTTAATTTTCCTCAGCTGATAACCATTTTTATTTTTATTTTTTTTATAATAAACCCTTGTTTTGAGTTTATTATAAACTCAAAGGAAGGGTTTATTATGAGTAGTAATCCACTAGACCTGAATGAGTATTAAATATTTCAACCATGATCTTTTCCTCTGGATGCTGAGGATTGTTACATTGTCTACATAATATATTCTATATTAGGCAAAATGGAGATGAATACCTTCTATGAATTCTTTTAGTAACCCCCCGACAAGTTATAGTGGTTAGTATGTATGCTTATAATTCATGAATAAAATCTATTTTGCCCTTTCTAAAACCAGAAACCAAGATCCCCTGTTGGGAACATAGGCCCTGCTTCTGAGCTGAGAGGGTTGGGTGAAAGTATTTAAAAGAAGAAAAAGCAGTGCTTTGCCTTGATAGTAGAGTGGTTAAAGCACTTAACATGTAAAGTGAAATTTGACAGTTCAAACCCGCCAGCTGCTCCATGGGAAAAAGCTGTAGCAATCAGCTTCAGTAAAGATTTAGATTTTTTGGAACTTAACAAGGGCAATTCTTTTCTTTTAAAATTGCTATGAGTTAGAATTGACTTAACAGCACTAGATTGTTTTTTATTTTGCTTTGAGTTTTAGTGTTTTGTTTTTTTAAATTTTATTTTATACTGGTTTACATAGAATGTTCATAAAGTTAATATTCATTGTTTTTCACACTGGACCTTTCCCCTTTCCTTTATCTTGCTAAGTTATTCTTTTCTTGATTCAGTGTTTGTATGATTGATGTAAACTTTGAATTTTCTAGAGTTCTGTCAATATTCATTCTGACAGTTTTTGCTTAGTTTTTGATGTTTCAGTGGAGCTTCCTTCATATCTTCCAATCTGGTGACATAATTTCTTCTTTTGGGGGGATTCATTAAGATACCATAAACATGTAAATTTCCCTTGAATTATTGCTTTGGCTATAACTCATAAATTTTGAGAAAAAAATGTTTTTTCCTTCTTATAATCTCAAACTAAACTTTCCCATACAATATGTCTTTTGGCCCATTGATTACTTAGGAGTTTGGTTAGTTAAATTATTACATATATTTACATTTCCCAACTTTTGTTCTGTTATTGATTTTCACTTTACTTTCTTAATGGTCTTTGAAAAAAAACTCAATGTGATTTCAGTTGTTTTATGTTTATAGGGTCACTATGAAATGGAATTGACTTGATGGCACATAAAAACATTTACTGATACTTTCTTGAATTCTTTGCATATGGTTTATTCTAGAGGATGTTTCATACATACCTGAAAAACAAGTAAAAACAAAACTGCTGCTGAGTCTGTTTTGACTCA